TTGCTTTTAGCCCATTTTGTCTAGGTTGACACCAACACAGAAATGTATATTTCAGGTTCCTAAAACTTTCCCAAGAAACGTATTTCAAGTATTTAATTTTATCGCAGAGGAAACCTTTTAGAAAGTTGTAATCAATCTAAAGAAAATGTGCCTTTGAATTTGTTTAAATGCAGAAAGGAGGGTTCACCTTACATACTTTCCCTAAAACTTTGCAACTCTCCTTTTGCCTAAATCTTCACCATAAAGAGATTCTGAGAAAATGTATTGGGGTGGAAAAAAGGGGTATTGAGAACTGACAAACAAGTGAGTATTCTCTTTATTTAAGTGATGGGTGTTGGGACTATGTTTACAACACATGAAACATGTCTAGTTATTTCGAAGAGCCTGGTGCACCCTCACCCACTGTCATGAGGCCCACCTGCTCTTGACATTGCACTAGGCCAAGGCGTCTAGACAGTGTCCTCTAGTCTGTATGACCTCTAGTCACCTTTATGTGACTTACTAAAAGGCACCCCTGCCACCTTTTGGAAAATTGTTGCAGTATGCTGATTTTGTTAGAAGGCTCTTTGTTGCCTTATGACAGACACTTTTCATGATAACTGTACGAACCCATGATGTGAATGGCACCCCCTCAGACATGGCACCATTGTGTAGTGCATGACCTACACCATCATATGAGACATTTGCAAGTAGATAAAAATAGAAATCATCATGGCAACACTTACCTATAACATGAACATTAGAAACCATGCTCATTGCAATAATGCCTGGGAAGTTCCCATTCAGCAAGTTGGTGGTGCTGAAATATGGAGGTAGGGTGTGGGGTGGGAAGGATTCTTTCATTGATAGCTTTCGTTATTGAGAACAAGAGCCAGCCTATTGCTCTGTATATGTGTTTCAGTCCGTTAAATAGAGCCTGCAAATTCCAACTACTTAGCCAAATGGAAAAGATTCTCTGTTTACAGAGAAAACACAAAGCTTGCTTCTTCCCCATCATTAAGCAAGCTGAGTATACTTAGCAGAACTTTTCCATTTAGGTATCCAAGTCAAGGCTATCAGTGACTTTTTCCTTGAAATCTAAACATTTTAGAAACATTTTGCAGGGAAAACTGTTCACAGGCCTGTTAAAAAAAATCAAATAAATAGTTTGGGGGTTTCCATCTTGGAATTAGAATGTTTATTTAAGAAACTCTAATAAAGCTCTCTTTCAAGCCCATGAAAATTATAGTCAGAACCAAGTGGTAGACTAAGGATCCAGGAAATAGCTATTGATTTGTGAGGGACAGAGGGAAAGAAAAAGCCAGGAAAGGAAGGAACTTGATGAGAAACTTTTTGTAATGGTCCTTATTTCCTTCAACTTTGAAAAACCATTTCACTGGCAGTAGAATTTAAAACACTCTCACTCTGCAACTACCTCTCCCAGGCAACAGGTAGTGCCCAGGGCATGGCTCAGGCTGGGCTTCTATGAGCAAAGGCATGAACGTAGGTGGGGCTGGCACACTGATTACAAGACTTGGTGCAAAAAGGATTTTCAGTGGGGGCAGGCAGGGCAATATGGGAAAGTCCAAAGCATCACACCCAAGGGATTGGGCAGAAATCAGGAAAGAATCTGAAAACTGGAAAGAAGAGACCCTGATTGGTGAGGGAGGATTGTGTCTCAAAGATTCCAAAAGGATGCCAGAAGTGGACCCTTTTATAGGGTGCCCACAAGTGAGCCCTAAGCAGAGAGAAGCCCATGAAAGAAAACTCTAACCTGCCTTTTTATTTACTTTTTAAAACTTCCATGGTGAAGAAATCAGAAAATAGTGAGGAACACATGGTACCAACGCATAGGGGTGGGTTACAAAAGATAGCCAAAAGTTCTGTGAAGAAATGCCAGGGGCATGTGCAAAGTATATTTCGATCAAAATGACAAAGCTGGACGAGCACCTGGAAGTAAATGTAGACGTGTAATAGTTCTGAAGTAGCTACATTGGAGATCAAAGGCTCTGAGTGATTTAGAAGAAAAAAGTAGCTTAGTAAAATATCATTGATGGCATTTAACATTTTTACCTTATGCATGTAATTATTCTATATAAATATAATCCGAAATTGGTGATGCATATAAGGTTATCTAATAAATGAGTATGCTTAGAATTCCATACTTGCTTGTTCTCTGCATTTCCAGTTTCAGTGAAGTAATAATGAAGGATATAGGTATCCTTACTGTCCTTACTATCACTTATATTTTTTGATTCAGTAATGATATAAACCCTATGGATGTTTAGGTAGACCCATAATCCCCAGTTGAGCATTAGTTACTGTGTGGTTAATGTTGTGTGACTTAGTATACCCACCAGATGCATGGTTAGGGCAGTAGAAAAGAAACTTCCCCTGGAAGGACAGTGTTTTTGAAATATTCAGTGACCTTCCCTATTAGTAGATGTGACTCTTCAGTGTCTTCAGCTATTATACAACCAAGAAAATTAGTAACTTTACCCTCTGGGCATGAAGTGCAACTGGATGGAAAATAAAGATAAGAAATCAGAAACCTCCTCTCCATGTGTCTACTGAAGGGATATGAAAGTCATTGGCTCTCACCCTTGGCCTCACACTAGAATCACCTGGGACTTTCACAAATTCTAATACCCAGACCATACCCTGGACCAATCAAATCAGAATCTCTTATGATGAGACCTAAGCAGCAGTGCTGTGTATGGGGGTCTAGGGAAAGTGGGATGAGTGGGGGTGGGGTGTGTATTCACAGATAGTTCCTTTTGAGAATACCTGGATTAAATGAAATAAGACAAGTGCCTGACATACATTTAGTGACCCGTGAGTATATGCACCACCCTTGAATTGCTTCCTGCTACTCCATCTCTCCCTTTTGTGTCTGTCTTGGTCTTTCCAAGTGTATCACAGGTGACTTTGCCTCAGAATTTCGAGAATTCATTTTTGACTTCATGCTGATGAAGGCAGAACTCTCTTCTTTTCTCACTTTTTCTTTTTGTATTTTATTTTTTTTAGAGACAAGGTCTCACTCTGTCTTGCAGACTGGAGGGCGGTGGTACAATCATAGCTGACTGCAGGCTTGAATTCCTGGGCTCAAACTATCCTTCTGCCTCAGCTCTCAGAGTAGAGACTATAGGTACACCACCATGTCCAACTAATTTTATTTTTTATTATTTGTAGAGACAAGGTTTTGCTTTGTTGACCAGGCTGGTATTGAACTCCTGGCTTCAAGCCATCCTCCCACCTCAGTGTCCAAAGTTCTGGGATTACAAGCATGAGCCACTGCACCTGGCCCTTTTCTCACTTTTAATATACCATCTCATTATTTATTTTGTTACTTTATCTTCCAATATTACTTAACTTCTTTCACCTATAAGCCCCAGAATCTGTGGCTTTAGGAAGAATCATTACTTCTGTGTGTCTAGGGATTTAATTTAGCCAAACTTTCTTGAGTACTTCAGAAAAATCAGGGTGGAAATAAAGTTTAAGAATAAAGGGAGTTTTTAAAAATAGAATACAACTCATCCATTTCAATTCAATTCAATTCAAATGCCTTTCTCTTTTCCAAGCATTTTTAATAAGCTCACTTAAGAGTCTTGTTGAAAAATAAATAAATTATACTTGTTTTCATTAAGAGAAAAGATCTTTTTCCATTTTTGCTGGTATTGTTGAAGGAAACAAAAAGGAGTCTAAAACTTGGCAAAGGAGTACATTTTTAGTGACATATTGGTCACAGATGTGCTAGTAGAGCTACATTTTCTTCCTGCCATTAGGATTTTAAGTGCCCACAAATTACATATGAAAGTCCAGATAACTTTCTTACAAAAGGGAAAGATGAAAATAATTAGGACACTTGCAAAATCTTCATTTTTAAGATAGCTAAATAAATTTCTGTGAAAAAGAAAGTGACACACGTTCATCTGCTAGTTTTTCTTTTAAAAGAAAAGTAGTGCTGGATGATGCCAACATTTACTCAATGTCATCAATTCCAAATGTTTTAAGCAAGTGAAGATACCTGCGATACTCTTTGGCAACACTTGTGAATAATAAGATTTCCTTTCCTTAACCATTCTTAAGAAAATCAAGAAGGCAAAATTTCAGATGTAGAAAGGAAGTTTCTTTCATAACTTTATGGCTCAAATCTGCAGGCCTGTGGAGCAGAGTATGAGGAGTTTAGCCAAATTTCGTTCCATTGCAGAAAGTCCTGAAAGAACTTTAGGGAGAATATTGACAAGCCAACCCTGGAAACAAGGTTAGGTTAGGATTCACCTGGGAGGAAACAGTGTTGGCATCAGGATTCCCATTAAGGTAGTTGTAATAGATGAATGTAATTCCAGATCTAAGGCTCTGACTAAAAGGATGTCATGGAAGGAAAAGGTATGTTGTAAATGAAAAGGCATCAAGAAACAGATTTGACAGGCATTGAAATAATAATGGCAAGCTAAATCTTTATTATAAGACTTATTGAAAAATTTTTATTCACTTTTATAAGAAAACTCGATAGGAGAATAACTCCTAGAAGGGTGACAGATGCCTCAATTTTCATCATGTTTAAGTTGGTAAGTGAACCAGTTTGAAATGCCATGTAAATTAAAAGTGATATGAAATTGAGCAAAGGAATGAGTTTACTGCCTATGTAATAAACTGAATTATGACACAGAAAAAATATGGCCTAGTTTCCTGATATGTAGGTAGAAAATTATCTGTTTCCATTTTTAATTTAATAAGAATATGCATTGTAAGATGATTTAGCGATCTGATTATTACAATGACAGGTGGCCTTAAATCAGGAGCTTGTAATATATTTTTCAGTCTCAAAGCTATTTGATGTACTGTCAAGGGAATGTCAGTGTTTGATTCTAATCCAGTGCTGTCTGATATCTTGTGTGTTATTTGGTTTTATAAGTTCAAGACGTCATACTGTACAGCTTTTTAAAAGCCTGTAGGGAAGACTTCAAGTTCTTTTCATTCTCAGCAGTACCTTGTTTTCTTGCTTCCCATTTTCCTAGGAAAGTGACAATATTGGAGGACCCTGATCAGAACATTCACCTGAAAAACTTATCTCTTCATCAGGCAACCACAGAGGAAGAAGCTCTGAATTTGCTCTTTTTAGGAGACACCAACCGAATGATTGCAGAGGTAATAAACTTCCCTCTGCAAGCTGTTTTTCCAACATTGTAAGATATAGTATCTGTAACTAAGGTGGAGAAAAAAACATATAGTAGAAATTTAGGGACAACATTAACCTTAAAAAATAATCCCATCAAAATCTCACATGCAGATAAGGAAGCCCAGATCTAGAGAAGTGAGGAGACTTTACCTAGGTTACCCAGCTAGCTAATGAGCAGGAACAGAAATTGAGACCTCTGGATTCTCAATCCACTGCTTTTTCTATTTTAGGGTATTTTTATATTTTTAGGTTTTATACCAATTGATTTGTTAATTAATGACAGCTTATTACATATAGGAAGTTTTTTATATTTTCTAAAATTTAAAAATACTCAGTCCATTTTTCCTAACCTGAAATCATCCAAATGTTGGCATGTGTTTACATATCCATATATTTTCATTTAGTTAGTGGGTTAATATGTATAAAGTACTAGAACAATGCACTGAACATAAGAAGTACTCTACGCATTTGCAGCTATTGTTGGCGTACCTGGGAACACCACCGTAGTGTCAGTGCAATATTTGGAACATATTTACGTTAAAAATTATTCATTGTTAATCTGACATTCAAATTTAACTGAGTTCCCATTTTATCTGAGAATTCTATGCAGGAGCTAGGATTGACCTGGCTTCCTCAGGGGCCCAAATTGTAACTGGTTTCCGATTGCAGATGGAAGGTTATGAAGCTCTCATCCAGCTCCACTGTGGTGAAAGGAATGGCTTGGCGGTGGTGCTGATGGTGTGGGAACAGTTCCTCAGATGAACAGCCTGCTGCTATCACTGGCATTTTCTTTTTAAACCATGCTCCCAGAGTTCTAGATTTTACTTGTCTCTGATAACAAGTATTAGGTGAGGGTAGTAATCTGAAAGGTTAAGTAGTCTAAGAAAAATCTCCATCAAGTGACCTTTTATTCAGCCCCATGTCTGCCCTCTGAAATATCCCACCTTAGAGGCAAGATAAACCAATACAAACTAAATTCAGATAGTGAAAGCATGGCATCGATATCTGTTATTATTTTGGGCCCTTAGTTTTTGTTTTTGTGGCAGTTACTAGTTCTTCGTCAATACTTTTCAAAACACTAGCTAACTTACGTAAGTTGAGTTTATGTGTCACACGTATGGATTTAAGGACCCTTAAATTGTTATTTTTATTTGAAACAACATTCACATAGTTTTAAATATCAGAATACCTTTTTTTTGCTTTACAGTATTTTGTATCTGTGCTCAGTACTCCAATATTTTCCCCATTTGATCATTTGTGATGCTCTTATTTGTCATAATAATTGAAGATCAAGGAATAAAGGTTGAGTAAGAATTAGAGCATGTAATGACAAAAGATTTAGCATGCTCCACTAAATCCTGTTCCTCCATATATAGTTTAATAAACAGTGAAACAGAAAATACAGAATAGAGTTGGGTCCTGCCCACAAATGGTTATGAAAAAGAGACAAGATAGATTCATAAACTGCTATACGGAAAACAAGTAGAGGAATCTGTTGCTGCCTCAGTGCTAACTGACCCTCTTTCAGAGGTGATTCATCCCTAGAGAAGTACAGACCTCATCCTTGCCGATTACTTTCCCTCATCTTCAGTGGGTTATGGAAAGGTCCTTAACCTGTTCTACCATGACCTCCAGCAGTTTAAAAGCTTAGCCATTTGCTCTTTCAAAGTTATGCATGAACTTTAGCTAACTACAGGGTTTCAGGCTGTGGTTTTGCAACGTTTTAAGGAACTTCTTTTATGAAACTTTCCTGTCTTTTTATTTTTTATTTTTAAAATTTTTTGAGACAAAGTGTCAAAAATTCCAAATCTTTTTATTTTTTTATTTTTTAAATTTTTTGAGACAAAGTGTCGCTCTGTTGCCTAAGCTGAAGTGCCGTGGTGTGACGGCTCACTGAAACCTCCACCTCCCGGATTCAAGCCATTTTTGTGCCTCAGCCTCCCGAGTAGCTGGGAATAGAGTCGTGCCCCACCACACCTGGCTAATTTTTTTTGAATTTTTGGTAGAGACGGAGTTTTGCAATGTTAGCCAGGCTGGTCTGGAATTCCTGACCTCAAGTGGTCTGCCCACTTCAGTCTCCCAAATGCTGGAATTACAGTCATGAGCCAGTGCGCCTTGCCAGAATTCCAGGTCTTTTCCTGTTAATTACTAGCGAGTGTCTAATATTATAAATAGCTGAAATTTGAAGAAGTCTAATCCTAATAATGCTGGTTGTGCTTTGATTTTTGTTTAATTTTTTTATTTTTTCTATATAAAGCCCAATTTCTACTCGGGAGGCTAAGGCAGGAGAATTGCTTGAACCAGGAGGCGGAGATTACAGTGAGCCGAGATTGCGCCACTACACTCCAGCCTGGTGCCTGGTGACAGAGCAAGACTCTGTCTCAAGAAAAAAAAAAGAAAAAAAAAAAAAAAACGAGTCTAGTAGGTTTTGATTGTTTCTGTGCTTGCTTTTATCTTTTCTTTGGTAATAATAATTACCATGTTATAATGAGAACCTGCTTAGTATAAGCCTTGCCATTGTTGTAGACATGTTTTACATATATATATATATTCTTTCTGGTTCTTATTTTATAGATGAAAACTGAGGTTCACAGAGTTAGACTACTTGCCCAAGGCCACACACTGCTGAGTAGTAGAGTCAGGACTCAGCTCCATGTCTGACTGACTCAGAAACTTCCATTCTTTCCTTACGCCAATTTCGTGAGTGCAGTAATCAAATCAACATCTGTCAAATATTTCAAGTGATGATATACTTCCAAATTATTTTAAAAGTATACCCAGTACTTAGCACCTTAGTTTATATCTTGAATGCAGTGAAAGCAAATACATGAAACTATAAATGAAGAGTAACTATCAACCCCTGGAAATTCTTTATTATTCAGAGTCTGTAAAAAAGCATGTTTTGGATTACAAACTAACTGTCAGAATGCAGTTTGTCAGCACAGGGTAAGCTTACTAGGATAAAAAGAATGAACTAATCATTTTTTAAAAAAGTGAAGTTCCCCCATTTCCCATTTACACAGAGGAATCCAGAAGTTGCCATGGTAACCAGAAAACATTTGCAAAACAAAGTCTGAATATGTGGGACACAAAGTGCAGTGCTCTTTCCTTTCATGTTCTTTACCGATAGCCAGCATTTTAAGGAAAAGTTATTAAGAGCAGCTTCAGCCTCTTCTATTTATTCAGAACTCTTAAGTAATTTCAGCAATCCTACCAATGTTTTGAATAAACCCTGATTATGTCCCTAGGATAATTTTTTTTTTAAGTTAAATTGCTGGGCCAAAGAGAATAAATATTATAAAAGCTGAACTACGTGTGACCCAACATCCAAGTCGACCAGTAGCGAGTGTAACTTGATACTGTTTTGTCTTATAGTTGAAATATTTCCATCAATTCATCAAATCTAATTGAACAAAGCAGTCTGCATTCGATGATCAGGCCACACATAGTGCGTAAATAGGACCACTTGCCCCTACCTTGAAGGCATAGTCCTATCCGTGGTCTAGGGCACTCTGTGCCCAAGTATGGTCCTAGGGAAACCTGTATTACAATAGCATATGGTAATCAAATGGTGCAATTTCTTAGATTACATTTCTGGTTGATGGATTCAGAATCTCTTCCATGGAGCCCAGGAATGTGCATTCTAACATTTTAAATGTGTTCAGGCTAAATTTGGGAGCAGTCTAGGCTTTACCCTTAAGAAAGCTCGTTGAACCTGGATTTTTTTTGGTTGGTACCCTATTAATTGCTCCCTCAACTTCAGACTTTGTTATTGGTTTATTCAGGGATTCCACTTCTTCCTGGTTTAGTCTTGGGAGAGTGTAAGTGTCCAGGAATTTATCCATTTCTTCTAGATTTACTGGTTTATGTACATAGAGTTGTTTGTAGGAATCTGTGATGGTAGTTTGTGTTTCTGGGGAATTAGTGGTGATATCCCCTTTATCATTTTTTATTGCATCTATTCAATTCTTTTTTCTTTTTTGTTAGTCTGGCTAGCAATCTGTCTATTAGAATGGTGATAGTTAAAAAATCAGGAGAAAACAGATGCTGGAGAGGATGTGGAGAAATAGGAACACTTTTACACTGTTAATGGGAGTGTAAATTGGCTTAACCATTGTGGAAGACAGTGTGGCGACTCCTCAAGGATCTATAAATAGAAATACTATTTGACCTAGCAATCCCATTACTGGGTATATAACCAAAGGATTATAAATCATTCTTTTATAAAGACACATGCGCGTGAATGTTCATTGTGGTGCTGTTTACAATAGCAAAGACCTGGAACCAACCCAAATGCCCATCAATGATAGATGGGACAAAGAAAATGTGGCACATACACACCATGCAGCCGTAAAAAAGGATGAGTTCATGTCCTTTGTAGGGACATGGATGAATCTGGAAACCATCATTCTCAGCAAACTGACACAAGAACAGAAAACCAAACACCGCATGTTCTCACTCATAGGCAGGTGTTGAACAATGAGAATACATGGACACAGGGAGAGGAACATCACACACTGGGGTCTGTTGGCGGGTAAAGGGCTAGGAGAGAGATAGTGGGGGGTGGGGAGGTTGGGGAGGGATAACACTGAGAGAAATGCCTGATGTACATGACCCGGGGATGGAGGCAGCAAACTACCATGGCATATGTGTACCTATGCCACAATCCTGCAAGATCCATACATGTACCCCAGAACTTAAAGTATAATAAAAAAGAAAAGAAAAGAAAAGAAAAGAAAACTGGTTGAAACCCAATCCCAGAGAAAGAAAAACAAGCAGGTCTATATTCTACACCCTTGTCAACACCACAACATTTGAAAATTCTGCCAATTTCGTAGACAAAAAAAGAAATCTTGTTTTAATTTGCATTTTGATTACCAAATTCTTTTATGTCTTTATTGGCCATTACATTTCTGTTTTTGTTCATGTCTTCTATTAGTTTTTCTCTTGGAGTGTTAGGGTAGGTCTG